TCTCTCTCTCTCTCTCTCGATCTCTCTTTATACACGTATGGTATTTTCATTAATACCAGTGAGCCAATTCATTCATTTGTTAAGCAACAAAGCATTAATGTTGTGAGAAATCCTCATGTCACATTTCTGAATTAAGTAGTTGTACAAACTGAAACCTAAAGCAGAATGTAAATCAAATTTGCTACAAAAATAGATTATTTTAAAAAAAGAATTAATGAATTCTAACATTTTTAAAAATTTTACCAAGCATCGTGCTATGAGTGACCACGTCTGGCCGCCTGAGGCAGGTGAATTTGACCGTGGGTTGATCAAATAAGGTGGCCGCGGCCGCGTTGGACAGGTGACCGTTTTACACAGTGATATTATATAGAAAAAACGCAAGAGGGGATAAATGGAAAGTGGCCTTTTTGTACATGTGGCCGTATTATACAGGCGGCCGTCATGGCAGGTTCGACTGTAGTTTTTAATTTCACAAAAACAATCTTTGCATTTTTAAGTTTTTGGTGGACGTCGTCAAGGCAGCCTGGCATGTAATGCTGCCAAGGTACTTGAATTTACTCATTTCTGCAAGGGGTTCTCCATAAAGTGTTAAGGGCGTAGTTTCTGATGACAGTCGTAGTACTTCTGTTTTGGATACATTTATTGTAAGGCCAACTTTTCCCGCAATTTTTTTATAGTTCTTATTATTATAAGTTTTTATTCTATTTCATGCACTGTTGTTTTTAATAGACAGATGTCATCTGCAAAATCCAGATCTCCTAAATATGTGCAATTTGTCCATCCAATGCCTGTTTCATTGTATTTACTCTGTCTCATTACAAAATCGATCACAATTCCAAAAAGTACAGGTGATAATATACAGCCTTGTCTGACACCAGTGTTTACCTCAAAAGGTGTAGATAGTTCTCCTTTAACTAGGACACAGCAGCTTACATTGGTATAGAATGATCTTATACAGTTTCTTATTTTTATTGGGATGCCATAAATTGCAAAAAAAAATTCCACAGGGCCTCTCGGTCTATGCTGTCAAAGGCTTTTTTTTAAGTCCACAAAGTTCAAGATAATTGGGACATTCCATTCTTTGCTTTGTTCTACGATATTTCTCGGAACAAACAGTTGATCTGTACATTATGATCTCCCTGGTGGAAAACCTGCCTGTTCCTCTCTTAGTCTCTCATCTATTGCTGTTCTCATACGAGACTAGACAATAGTACAAAATAATTTTTCAGGCACTGATAAAAGCGTTATTCCTCTTCTATTGCTACAGTCTTTTCAGTCTCCTTTTTAGGTAGCTTATTATATTTCCCTTTCTCCGTTTCAAGGGCGTGTTGTCTTTTTCAATAATTTCGTGAAATAGCAACAGTAATACAAATGTATCTCATAACCCTCTTTTCCAATCGTTTTAAGCATCTTATCTGTAATTCTTTCTTCTCCAGGACTTTTGGTACTTTTCCTTTTTATGAGTGTTGTTAAAATTTCCAGCATGGATATTTTGTCCGTAGGCCTACTTATGTTCAATTGCTCCATTGGTTGTTCTTTGTCAAAGTTGAGTTCAATGTTCTCTGATTGATTTTCTGGGGTGTTTTTTTTTTACCCCTCCCTCTGGGTTTTTTTTACCCCTCACTAGTTGGTTTGTTTTTACCCCTCCTTCTATTGTTTGTTTTTAACCCCTTACTCAGTTGTTATTTTAACCCTCTCTGTGTTGTTTTTCTTTAAAATCCCTCTGTTATTTCTTTTAACCTCCTTCTGTTGTTTTTCATAATCTCGAGATCTCAGTTGTGAAAGGTGACAACCTATCCATGTAGTAGGGCCTACTCTTTGACTGAAGTCAATTTTTCTGAGCGGTAATAATACACTTTTGCTTTAAAATTTGAAATGTTTTGTTCGTTTGTTTGTTTGTTGTTTTTATTTGTTTGTTCGTTGTTTTCATTTGTTTTGTTTTGTTTTGTTTTTTTGTTTTTTTGTTTAAAAAATTTATTTTTTTTGTTTTTGTTTGTTTGTTCGTT